CAACTGCCTGGAATCGCTGGAATGTGCCTGGGCAGAGCCAATGCTTGGCAGGTAGGGAGAGAATGTTTGGGAAGGTGGTGTTTATCCTGCAGATAAGAGCAGAGGAGGAGTGTGAGTACTGTGCTGAGCCCTGTACACTCTTCCAGAGACTAGGATAACAGTTACTAAGCCTCACTGGTGGGGACTGGGAAGGGGGAAGACAAAGAACAAAGAAGTAGGAGGGAGAGCGCGTTCCAGGATTCCAGGTTCGGTAAATTATAGGATGATGACCAGGAGAGAAAGCACAGAATCAGGTGCGAGTCTGTGGCAGGAAGATGAGTTTGGTTTTTAACACCTGACTCTGTGATGGGAGAGCTGTGATCAATTTCCAGAACGATGCCCATAGCTGACATTTAGCTAGTGCTTAATATGCACCAAGCACAGTGCTGAGCACCCAACAACTCTAAAAGATGAATATCATTATTATTCTCACTTTAGGTTTGAGGAAAGCGAGGCTCAGAAGGAGTAAGGAGTCTCCCAAGTCTCCCAGCTGACAGATTACAGAAGTCAGGAGCCCACATCCACCTCGCACAGCTCCTGGCTCTGGTGCTATCTCCACACTCCCAGGAGGGAACCCCACAGAGGGCAATGCAATCAGTGATTCTGGAATGGATCCTGTACTGGAAGAAAAAATACTACAAAATTGGAACAAAGATGGTAGTTTAAAAGATAACAATTTCCTAAACTCAGTAACTCTATTATGCCTACACAACAGAATACCCATGCTTTTAAGAAATAGTTAAGAAGAGGCATGACCTATACAACCTACTCTCAAACACCTCAGGAAAAAAAGAACATACACACAGAGAATGAGACCAAATAATTAAATGTGGCAAAGAGTAAAGTGAAGAGCCTGCATGAAAAGTAAAATTTCTTAAAGGAAAAAGGACACCTGACACCTGAACAGCAGGACTTGCAGGTCAGAAGTAGAGTGGGAGGGTGTGGGGTGTAGGCCATTGCAGCAGAGAAAGGCTGGAGTACAATGGAGCTTCTCTCTGGAAGGTTACCACACACCGTATACCACAGGCAGGTTAGCCAGGAAAAGGCCTGAGAAGGGGCCAAGGATGTGGCAATGGGAAAGTCCCCATGGCCTTGATCCAGGAGCAGATTCTGGAACCTGGAAGGAGCCAGAGTATAGAGTGGGAAAGGCTTGTGGCAGGTGAAGGTGCTGAGGCAGCAAATGTGGAGGCCTGTGGGGACAGCTGCAGCAGACAGACCGGAAATGACAGCGGGCCCAGGGCAGCAGGCAGAGGGACACCTGAATTTGAGAACGACCAGGGGACAGGACCCGGAAGGACCAGATGGAGGAAGGTCAGCAGGTAAGGTCAGACCCAAGTGCCCAGGGGCATTGTGGGGAGAGGAGATGATATCTGAAAATTAAGGAGCTGGCTACTTCTCGGGCCCCCTTGGCTTGAGGCCGGGCGCCTGACCTCACCTTGTGATAAACCTCTGGTGGCGAGGTGACTAAGGTGGGACAGAAAGAGGTGACTCCGTGCGACAGGATCCTCTGGGCTACCAGCGCTACTCCCGAACCCACATCCTCTGTGGCCTGAGAGAAGTCAACGCCAAATCCACCTGTGGCCACAGAAAAGAGGAGGTCGCACGGTGCTCAGAGCTCCTCCCCTGGGTCTCCGCCCCCAGGCCCTGACCCGCACCGTTGATCTGCACGTCAATGAAGCCGGGCGCCAGGATGCAGCCCCCGCAGTCCCGCTGCTGGTCGGCTACGAGCCGCTCCTCAAAGAAGAGCTTCTCTGGGTCCAGAATGCGGCCCTCGCGCACCCACAGATCCTCCCTGCGGACAGAGAGGGGTGGGGGCTCGTGTCGCCGACCCAGAACCCTGCACCCAACCCGCGTCCACCATGGCCAGGCCAGCGCCCGC